ACTTAATATAGGTAGTATCATGATCAAAGAGATGTATGTGGAAATGCCAGAGAACAAAATAACGCCACAGACAGGAAAGAGCATGCCACTGAAACATCTATAGCAACAAACAACAGAATGATTCTAAGTATTCAGCATAACATATGAAAACTTGCTAGAAAGAAACATGACACATATTTTGCTATGGCCTTTTAGTTAACGTACCTAAATTCAGATGAGAAGATAATGTCATGAAAAAAAAAGAAAGTGCTATCGCTAATCGAGTATGAAGAAACTTGGGTAAATTTGGCAAAGAATGCATGGTATTCCAGTCCCGTTAAAGGCATGTTAGCAGTTTTTGGACTTTTGTAATAAATATATTAATCAGGGTTTTATGTTTTTTGTCTAATGCCTTTTTGGGATAGTTTAGAGGCTAGATTTATTTATTTGAGGAGGAAAACGCACGTAAGTGCTTAAGGGAAAATGCATCTCCGCGGAGGATATACTAAGGAAAACTTACTCCTATTCAAGCTACATATGGAGAAAACTAACCATGCAGACAACTCGCACGCCTGGCATCAAACCCCAGTCAAACTCCATATTTACAATTGATAGTTTAGAGAAAAATATAATGAAATAAATAAAACACATAGTGATACTTGCAGAATTGATAAATTATATAACTAGGGCTCACAAGATATACATTAACCATGAATGGAACAAAATTCCTTCTTAAATCTGGAAAAATAAAACATATTTATATATATTTTTAACATACATACATATATATTAAATAGGTATATTAAAAACCGTTTGTTTATCCTACGAAATGTCTTCTCCTAATGAGCATATGTGAAGCTGAATTTAATACACCTAATGGAATTATCCTGCTTTTAAAGCTGTAAGCACATAATGACGTTTTTGATAAATTTTTCTTGATGACTTTTTTTAAAGTTTAACAATTAAACATTTAAACGGAAAAACAACATTTGTTCGTAAATTAAAAGACGAGAATCAGTAATAATTCACAAACGCTTAAATGTGTCTTTCATAACCTTGCATCAACATCTCAGCCTTGGAATAATTCCCAGGAGATGTGACAACTGAGTCCAAAAATACATAACCTCGTTACCATAGTTCATCCTGTCCTATCCTGACTAGAGAAAAAATTATCTTTTCTTCCAGAAAAGTTTTAAAATATTATTTACTACCGCAGGCATATTACATATTAAGAAATCCGATAAATATTTACAATTATATATATATATATATATATATATGTGTGTGTGTGTGTGTGTGTGTGTGTGAGACATAATAAAAGCAAGGAAAAGACGGAGCAGTTTTGATGCGTACGTAGATCCATATTGAAAAGGAAGAAATCTAATTGCGGCGTATGCTAATATGTTGACTTGGTAATATCTAAGAAATTTGGCAGTCGAGGCAGTTTTAATTCCATTTTTATTTACAACTGACTTTAGTGGCAACAGTTCGCTTGGCACTCTAGTCGTACCTGTTCAAGAACAGTTACATTATTAATATTATTGCGATAACAAGCAAGACAACGAAAGTACGTCCAAGCAGAGCAGAGAGAGAAGCTAAGTGCGTAGTTATGGAAGATGGAAGCACACAAAGAGAAAAGTTTTGGTTTGAGTTTAAAGTTTCAGTTCCCAATTATTACGTCATCAGCGCTACACAGGTTAAGCAAAGTCGAATGATCTAGAGATGACGCAATCCAGAATAGTTATTACGATTTTTAGAACGGAGAGGGAGAAATAAAGAATTTATCATTTAAAGATTATGTTAATTTGATTAACAGTTAAATTTTGAGTTAAAATCTTTTCCTGTCAAATTCTTAACTTATTACTTCCGCTCATAACGTAGTTTTAGAATGAGGTCTGAATACATAATGAGAAAAAGTACTGACCCAGCTCGGAGTTTCGGATTTCTTTTAGCGTTGAGTTCTTTTGGGATACTGTCTCCAAAGCTGTTATACGCTCGGCCGTACTCAGGCCCTGATAGCTTCGGTCAATTAGAGTTAAGGGGCTAACTCGGTTAGAATCTTGATAGCTATATCTCTTTAGTTTAAATTAGTTTTAGTTTACTTCTTAGTCTCTTAAGTTCAAGCCCAAGTGTCGGCTTTTATTGTACACTCCAAGACGGAGTTCTGTTAAATATTATTTGAATAATAAAGGGTTATTTCTCCTTTCATCTTGTTGTTTCTTGTCACACGAACTCAAGCGGTTATTGGCTTAACAGTCCTTAAGATTCTTCACGTTCAACAATAATTTAGCATTTACAAAGTGAGGAACACTACAACCATTAGTTTAAATTATACTTTTGATTCACATATTTTTTATCTTACATATCCCCCCCCCACTTTCAAAGAGAAAAAGGCTTGGCGACAGAAAAGCCTTTTTAGAGAAAAACATTACAGAATTAGCGAAACAAGGGAAATGCAATAGTGGAAAAATCATAAATATTGATATAAATAATTTTTAAGCTGAAAAATCTTGTAATATCATATTTATCAATAAATTCAAATTTAAATTTCAAAATCTTCAAGTTCATTTTTCTGTGAAAACATTGAAAGGAAAATCCTAAATTTTCAAAGAATACATGAAAGAGTTCATAGTTCTTTAAAATCTTTGCTTGAATACCATAATCATAATATTTGGCAATCCATATCTTGAAAGTCTTACATAATTCTATAACAAAATTTTTTCTTTCTTCTTATTGTAGGGTAAAATTCATTTCTAGTTTCAAAAATTCTAAAAAATTTAACTTGATCACACAAGTTATTTGTATTAGATTTTAATTTTGTATTTTTACAAAACAGTTTGATACAATATACAATGCCAAAAACCAGTAACCTTTTATTAGGCAACGGAGGGTTTTGATATTTTGTACTGAAGCACCCCCCCAACCATCAGCAACTTAGTCATGCTAATTTGTTAGAGAGGACATGCCAAACATATAATCCAAGGTGTTATTGTCTTATTGAATCATATTATTAAAGATTTATATTGAATTATTTTCTTAAGGTATTATAGCATAATATTTTCATTAAATTTTTATATTCCTTTAAAATATATCTATGTATTGTTAATTACCTACGATGAGAAGAATGAATTCACTCTCATCTCCCGGCCTCTCATTTTGAGAGGGGGGAGATATAAAATATACAAAATACGATGGCTTTGCTCTAAGCGAATAGGCAACATCTAATTAACTTTCCGAAATTTCAGGATCTTCTCCCTAGACCAGTGCTTTCGATAACATTCTGGCAGGTTATGTAACCGTTACTAAAAATACAGAGTTCGCGCCATTTGACCGATTTCTCCTTCTTTTTACTGCTATAAAACCTATAAATCCTTTCTTGCCGCTCTTCCCATCTGTCTTCCTTTGTTTGAACAATATGACGCAGAGTAAATTTAAACCTATTTAGTTTAAATTATAATATATCCTCTCCTTTCTTCATTTGGACCAATATCTATTACAAAGGCAGAGAGTTCCAGTGTCTTTTTTTTTAATAATTCCTTTAGATTATTATAGATTAAAGGCTCTTTATCTTCTTCACTATCACTACTTTCAGCCACCAGGGCGAACGGTAGAAACGATGAATACTGGTAATTCCGACCTGGGTTCGAATGTATACAAGCCAGCTTACCTTGAATTCCTCCACAAAGGCATGCATTCCCTAAGGCAGGTAGCCTTAGTGTGCTTTGAATAATTAAAAGAACAAACAATCGCTATTTTACAGTCTGCTAGGGCCATCAAATCATCCAATTCGTGATTTGCTTTTTCATGATCATCATTCTCGATTACGTTTTTTATTTCTCCTTTTTCCATATCTGAAAATTCTCCATCCTGTACTACTTTTTCAATGTCTACGATTTCCATAGCTTCGTTTTAAGTGGATGGAAATTCTTTAAAATTACTGACTAATTCTGATGATTTCTTCCACTTCTGATGATGCAAGCAAGCATTCAATGTTGATGAATTCAGCAGTCCCCTTGCGTGTTTAATCATTTCCATGCAGTGAATTATATTGAATTGCTTTGAAAATTTCATTAGTGTGTCGTATTTTCCTTCATCTAATGCTTTATTTGCAGAGATGTAAATATCCTGATGTAATAGGTTTTCTATATTTTTAAGATTCCTTGATCATTTGGATGGATTTAGAAAATGACGGTCGGTGGAGAGAATAAACCCCTGTATATTTGGATGCAGTGTTATGGGGGCTTCAGCACCGTGTCCTGAAGCATCACTGAGAACTAGAAGATATTTAAAGCTCGAGCTCTAAGCTATCCTATGTTTTTTAACGACTGAATGTTCAAACCAGTCATTAGAGAGGACTATCCCAACTTGGCCAGCTCTCTTAAGATAACGCGTGAATGCAAAACCAGTTCCACAAGCCCGCATTCGACAAGGTTTACTGCAATTTATAATTCAGTTATATATTAAATCAGTACATTATAAGATATTTCTCTCTCCTTCTTAGCATGCCTTCGTGGTGTAATGGCCAGCACACTCGACACGTATTCTACAGGTTCGAGGTTCAAGTTATGGCGAGAGCACTGCTTAATTTTCTCATCTCCTGTATTAAAAATACCTAATGTCTCTACAGTGGCGCCTGAACTAGAAAAAAGTGATGTATGATGATTCTCCACCACTGGGATGTGGCAATTGGTTCCTCTAATTTTCAGTCGCCCTTTAAAGGTGGAGTATATAAGGTATTTCTCCCACCTTCTTATCATGCCTTCGTGATGTAATAGTCAGCACTCTCGGCGGGAAGTCGAGAGGTCTGAGGTTCGAGTCCCGGCGAGGACATTGCTCATTTTTCACGACTTTTGCTTCAAAAATACCTAATGTCTCTACAACTTAATAAAAATCATTCTTAAAGAAACAGAATTTTTCTTCCATCAAGATTATCCAGGAATAATCAGTCTGCTAAGCGTGAAAGTTCAGAATTTCAAATTTCAATTTTACGAATTTTAATAAAGTTCATTAAAACAACTTACCTTCCAGAACAAGGGTCCCATTCACATACCATGATACGATAGGCGACGGATCTGAGCGAACATTACATATAAGCATGAAGTCGTTTCCAGCTTTCCCGTACTGATGTTCAGGTGTGCCCCAGAAAGATATTGATACTGGAATTTGAAATAATGTTTCGTTACTTACAATAATATTTTACATTATAAATTTATAATAAATTTACAATATTTACAGAGACAGATCTAAAAGCTGTTGAAAATCAAGTGATCATTTTATTAAATATTGAACTCTCCGATCTCTTCATCCCAGTTAGGAAACCAGGACTTTTACTCTAGTTAAGCTCCTGTTTGTGGCTCTGGAGGATAACCAAGACCAAGGGCCAGAAAGGCTGAACAGGTGACATTATGTAAATATTTGTGTTTGAGATACAGGGCAAAGCTAAATTGTTAAGGAAATACACTGGAACCCCTCGTTGCTACAAATGAACTTAAAAAATATGTCATAAAAATAAATAATGTCATAAACTTAAAAATTGTACTTCAAAAATTACAGAATTATTTACATGAAATTCATACAAACGTGTGCTTTACCAGATATTATAAGAGCATTTATACAGAATATATGCAGATATCAAAATGAGAAAAATTCATGATATATTTGCATAATACTTACAAGATCAAGGTTTATACAAAGTAAAAACTATTATAATAATTGTATCCTCTATCGCTAGATGGCATCTCTATCGCTAGATGGCATAGCTATCGCAAGTGCTAACAATGAGAACACACTCTATATATTATCTAAGTGTGATATGTCTTCTGCATTAGAGCTCTGTTAGTAGTGCAAAGTGGAACAGTTGTTTTACTGAAGGTAAGAATTTTTATTTTTGAGCAGTATGTTGTTGTATTTTCTGTTGAATAACATCTGAAACTACCGTTCAATGAATAATGCAACACTAAGTACATAATAATATGCAGAATAATGCGATGTAGCAAACAGTACACAATTTCTTGAGCTCTTGGAAGTCGATGAACATGAGCATAGACTTCAACAAGCTGATGTCATGTGTCACACATTCACTGAAACCATTCAGCTGTTGCACCACTCATCAGCTATTGTATTATTTTAAAAGGCATGCGGCCTCTGCGGTTCACTCGATTTGCCTCCCGCACATTTTTATGTGTAGAGATAACTTATAAGTATACTAAAATAACCTACAAGCACTGGAGGACTTAAAGAGGAACATCACAACTGCGGAGCAACATGCAGGTTACAGGTCTTTTCCATAGTACGTGTTTGCCTTCTGGCTACTTCGTTCTTGAAGCTACTACGCTCGGCCGTATGTACGTACCTGTTGATAATCGCCGGCTAGGTTAATTTAAGGGCCAATTACGTAAGGTATTTGTGTCTAGCTTCGGCTAAAATCTATTTAGTTTAGAATTAGATTAGTTTCTTATTTTCTTACCCTGATTTAAAAGCCCAAGTGTAGGCATTCCTGTAAGCCCGAGAAGGGGGCCATCTGTTATTATTTCTTTGAGTGAATAAAAGAGCACTTTAACCCTTCTCGAGACTTTGTAGTAACTACTGGAATTCAGCGATAATTCGATACTTAGTTCACTAGGTTCCACGACATTATGTTATAGAAACATACTGAGGAACAATACATAGTAATAAAATAATAGTTGATTTCTCACGCATCTATCATCAAAAATACCAATAACTGCACAGTTACATCCAAGATCTTCCACTAAGTTTAGGAGTATGCATTCGTATTTGTATTTAAGTTTATAGGATTGCACAAAGAAGTACGACATTAATACGTGGTATATTCGTGAGCTTAGGTTATTAAGTTCGGAAGCTTAAGTTATTGACATTAATACGTGGTATATTCGTAAGCATAAAAAAATGCCACTGCAATTAATTAAGAACTGGCTTTATTCACGAGAAATGCGATATATGTAAGTCCATTATATCACTTCCTGTCAGGCATAAGAAGGTACACCTTGATATAGTCATAGGTCTGTAATGTGTCTCATGTTCGATCTTACAGTAAGCGCAAAAATTATAGACCATTGACATTAATACAAGTAGTGTTGGTTCGTTGTTTATTTGTTGAAAGGTGTAACACATTCAAAGGTACCTGATGTCGCGAAATAAGGCTTCTGCTGAATGCTGTCGAAAGCTACAAAATGAACGTATTGAGATCTACTTCAGAGTCCTTAAGATTACCGGGGAACATATTGACTTCCCATGGCGCCACAAAATGAAATGTCTGAGTTTCAAATCGTCAGAAGACAAACAGAATATCACAGAGAATAAGTTACCCGAAATCAACAGGAAAGGTGTAAGACCTATCTATGTTATTCCACATAAACTAAATTAGATTCTACAATGAACCTGGCGAATTCTCGCACAAGCGTAAATAAATTACCAGCACAAAAAAGGGCGGAAAATAATCATTTATTAATTCAAACTAATTTAACAGAAAGGCACGAACTTCGTGAGTTACAAAAACACCGTTCACTTGCGGTGTTAACTAAACGTAGACTAGAATACAAGTCAAATCTGAAAATAAATAGAGGAAGTTCACACTTCAATTTACGCCTAAGAGGGGGACTCACAAAACTCTAACCGGCGTGATACTAAACTGATAAGTCCAAGAGGCTTATTAGTGTGACCGCGAAATAACAACGAAATGTGTGTTTGGCTAGCGAAACACGCTCTGAATAAACTGATGTAATCACACGTTTAAATAGTACTTTACTTAACTTTAAATTTACATCCTGGCAAGAGAATGTGAGGGGAAGTTGAGAAGTTTAGAAAAGGAAAACTGAAAATAAATTTCTTATGCAAAATAAGGAAAACCCTACAAAGAATTTTGAAATCGCGTATCTCCTGAAAAAAATGGTATATCAAAACCATTCCAGTGACATTTTGTTTCTTCTAGTCTGAAGAATACCCCATGTAACATTGTCACACTCCTTCAGACACCCTATACAAATAAATTTCAACAGCGGTAATTATATTCTCTAATTGCTAATAGTGTCTTCGAAATCTAAAAATGTAATTTTTAAAATTTCATGCTAAGTAAGTAATGCATGCTAAGTAAGTAATGCAAGTATTTTTAAAATTCATGCAACTATTTATAAATACATAAAATTCTGCTAGAACTTCGGAAAAAAACTGAGGAAATGTATTCTTCTATTTATTACATTATTTGAACTACAAAATAGCACTGGAGAATTTTTGTTATTCTGAAATTCAAATAGTATAAACTAATTATGAAGAAGTGATATTAAAACATAAAATCTTCAGACTGTAGTTCCGGATTTTGTTTTAATAGAAATGAAATTATTTCTATCCGTATATTTGAAATAAAGGAAAATATTACGTGAAATAATAATAATTTTTTTAATGAAATTTGCATCAGCATTAAAATTCTGTATTAAAGAAAATTATATTTAACATGATATGAAAAGTATTTCCGATAAAATTGAAATTTAAAAGGGTATGTTTTTAAGCTTCAACGGTTGAGCTTAAAAACATACCCTTGAGTTAATAAAAAATTAAAATCATTATATAAATTAAATTTAGACTTCTTTAGTTTTCACATTAGAAGATGATATCAAATATATCTTTATCATTCGACTTCAGAATATTAATAACGTTTAACTAAATATAGTTTATTCAGAATTCTAAAATTCAGCAATAACGTTAGTAATATTTAACTTATTATATAACATATGTGAAATTTCTAGTTGATACATGATCAAAATCTCGCACATTAAAATGAAGAAATATTTGTAATAAGTAACATTAATTTAATTTAAGTAAATTTATTTAAATATAATCTGTTCTGAAAAGAATTGTAATTTAGAAAATAAATAAATAAACAAAAACGTTTTCGTGATAAAGATTTTGATAGCTGTGCTTCGCAAAAAAATGGTTTAGTAACAAAAATATTCTTTTATCTTGTACACATACAATCTTTTACTTTCAGAAAATAAAACTGTCAAAAAGATTCTGATATTCAATAAAATTTCCGTTATTTTTCATTACTAAATTCCAAAATTTTATTTAAATTTCCCATTATAATTCTGTTTTAAATATTGGAATTTTGAATGTTCATTCTGATACATGCATAAACCACCTATACAACTGAAAAGCATTTACTATTGTTTTAAGCACTTAAGATAAAAAGTACTTTATAAGCGAACCTTTTGATATTGCATGTTGCAGATAACGTTTAATTTACACTCTGCTCACCTCTATGAATTTTGTTTCATTTCTCACTACCAAAACTTATTATATTTTATTTTATTACTATGGCTTGTAAAAATTCTAACTGTCAGAGGCGGATTACTGCCAACTAAATAATTTTAATTCTGTACTGTGTCTTGTAACAAGATACGGAAAAGTAAATAATTTAAATTTTCACGAAGTATGGCGAACCAAAAGGGATATACTTGGCAATTTTTATGACAAAATAATGCTGTCAGTTAAAAAAAAAGTTACTTTATAACGCTGGAGTATTTTAATTTCATTCTGAATGATTTATGGTGTTCATGTACATACTTTTAACTCTGAATAGCTTTCTGATTTCCCGTTTTTAAAATTTTATGTCAGATTATCAAAAAGGCAGAAAATTACTCTTCGAAATCTTTATCTTCCTGTTTGACGCGGAGCTAAAATATTAAGTGAGTCTAAGTGATTTTGTATAACAACGTAAATAACAGTGATGGTCTACAATCTATGAAAGCGCTTTTCTATTGACTTGCGGCTTTACTTTAATGACATTACGCAAATGCACTTCGAAGCGATCACGGAGCCTTTCCTAATGAGATATCTATATCATTGATTCCCATCCCATGTTAACGAAGATATCTGGAAGTTGTCAATCCCGTTTTAAGTCTAAATTCCTGTATAAAAGGCACAGAATACAAACAAATTTTCCTGCGTCGACAATTAGCTCAATTAGCAGTCCTGGAATCAACTAATGCACAAAAAGTCAAAAACTATTATATTGTGCTATGGACATTTCCAGTCCTGGGATCTAGTTATGGGTTATAAAAAAGGAAAAAAAAACCCTCTTTTTAATATTTTTATCTTGTCTCTAATGACTATCGTATAAATTTCATATAGTATATTAAGTTGA